TATATATATATATATATATATATATATATATATACACACATATATCTGCAGTAATAAATTTTTACAAGTATGAACTTTTTTGAATATCTGTATAAAGATTCAAACAGTCAAATTCAGCAGCTGACCATCTATGTGACCCAAATTTGAATGAGACTAATATTTTCCTGATAGTAAGCATCAAAGACTGAATAACTAGGTAAAAATAAAATTAAGATGGTTGATCTTTCCAAGGCTTTTAATGCTAAAATTCGTCGGGCAGAGTAAATAACGCATTGTGTAGATGTTTATTTAACAACACATAAAAATGTCGTTGAGAAATGACAGAGCTCAGTTGATCTTAGAAACGTTCCAAATTAACATTTAACATTTCCACAGAGATAGTTGCGTCAGTGGATGCAAAAAGGCTTTGATTAGTAGCGAAGAAAAAAAAAGTCTGATGAATTTATTCCAAAAAGGCTTTCTCAGAAGTATGGATCAGTAGGTTTCTGGAAGCCTGATACTAGAAATGACGTAAACATTTGCAGACATAAACCAATACAACTTCAAACAAATTTCGAAGTCCTCTTTCCAAATTTTCTTGCATGATCCAAATCAAAGATGTGAATCTGCTACAATTGTTTAAACACCTGTTAAATGGAGTGCATCCATCATTGTTTAATTATGATGAAAGTCTTCGTAAAACACAAAATATGATCTTGCAAAAGAAACTAGAATCCCTTGGTAAAGTGCACTCTGACCTACCAGCATCTGATATTCCACAATGTACATCACAGACGGTATTTCCCTCCTTCAGACACTGAATGATAGACTCTTAGTTTCCTGAGTTTGCAGAAGTTGACAAGAAATACATCTTTACATTGTTGATGAAAGGTATGTCTAATGGTAGCTGAAGAATGCGAAACATCATCCTAATTACATGAATTTGCAACTCAGTTGGCTTCGGGACAACGTATGGTTCCAAACTACCAAAAATTCCTTAGCATTGAAAACAACAAATCAGTCTTAACGGCATTTGTGTTTGTTTGTTATGAATTTCGCGCAAAGCTACACAAGGGCTATCTGCGCTAGCCGTCCCTAATTTAGCAGTGTAAGACTAGATGGAAGGCAGCTAGTCATCACCACCCACCGCCAACTCTTGGGCTACTCTTTTACCAACGAATAGTGGGATTGACCGTCACATTATAACACCCTCACGGCTGAAAGGGCGAGCATGTTTGGTGTGATCGGTATTCGAACCCGCGACCCGCAGCTTGCGAGTCCAGCGCCCTAACCACCTGACCATCGGCATTTGTGCTCCGTTTATAGAGTCGCATGAGCAAGAAAATACTCCTGACAACAAGCCTGTCAACTAGGTAGAAGGATAAAGGAGTGGAGAAACTGCTAAAATCATAAAACGGTCAACCTTTAATAGATCTTGTACATGTGTATTCCATGTAAAACCAAATAAGCAGATGATACTATATAACAAAGATGTCCGATGGAACAATATACAGACGTAATCGTATTATTACTATATTACTACGCTTTTGTGCTTAATACCACTCACACTTCCACGCATGCAGGTCACGAAGGGTAATCTATAAACCAACAGCGATTTATTCTTATTCATGAAATTGCTACCAATGTAGAGCAAAAATGTGTTGATAGAAATTAATAAAAACCTTATGACCCGAGCCCCTGAAGAAGAAAGGTCCACCTTTCGAAAGCACTCGGTTTATAGGGTTTCTTATTCATTTGTATCAAGACTTCTGCGTGTTTTTCTAACATCATGAGAGCAAAAATGTGTGTCAGTGGTACATGTCTTAACGGGATGTGACAGCGCTCACTCTCTGTATTGGATTGGTAGATGTTCAGCAATGAATATTTTGCAGAATAATAAAACTGCCATGAAACAAATTTTATCTTCTGGTGACACACTAGAAGTACCTGGTGATGTCATGGCGGTTACAAGAATCTTTGCTCTGAAACTGTATGGTAGCAGAAAAGAAGGAAAACGGGCAATTATTTGATGACCTTGATGAACTCCAATATTCTCAAAGAAAAAAAAAAAAAGAGGCAACATCCCAAGAACACGCCATTTAATATTTATTTAAATACAAAACTCCATAAATGATACCATTTGTAAGGTTGTGCTCATGCACAGGTTGGTACATCACATATTATGAAACAATATATGTACAGAGGTAATATGTTTGCATCTTGTAAACATGGGATTTTTAACTTTGCCTAATATGCTATATAATTCTTATCAATTCAACATCTGAAATTTGTAAGGTTATCACAATAAGAGTGCTGTAAATAGTATAAACATTAAATTTGGGGCTAACTTCTTGATGTATATTTATTTATAAGATTTTCTTCCTCAGGTTTATACCAGTTACCATTGTTTTACCATACAGACGAATATCTTTAGATCTTGTGGTTCTTAGAATTGTCACATTCCTAAAATTGAAAAGTATTTGAAAGATTTAAATTTGACAATACTGTTCAATGAGAAAATTAAAAAATTTGGCAATTTCAAATAATTAATGGTTAGAAAATTAGTGAAAAAAAAAGAACAAAGAACAAAAGAACTCTCTGAATGGTCGGGGACATAGAACAAGAACTTGGTGCTTGTTTGTTTCTGAATTTCGTGCAAAGGTACTCTAGGGCTGTCTGAGCTAGCCATCCCTAATTTTGAAGTGATAGACTAGGGGTAAGGCAGCTAGTCAACAACACTCACCACCAACTTTTGGGCTGCTCTTTTAGCAACGAAAAGTGGGATTGACTGTTACATTATAAATATGGAAGAAAAATTAAAATTTTAAGGGAAAGTAGGGATCATTGATTATTCGTAGAATTGCTATAAGAAGTATCCAAAAACAAAATAAATGCTGCAATAAAAAGTACACAAACAAGTAAAGTGATATAAGTTGGATAGATTTGAAAACGATTGGCAAATTTAGACTGCTTCATTTATTATACGGATCACAATGCTAACCAAACTACGGATTTAAAATCATTTTCAAATCTATCCAACTAGTATCGCTTTACTTGTTTGTGTACTTTTTTTATTGCAGCATTTATTTTGTTTTGGATATTTCTTATAGCAATTCTAATAACAACTAACGATCCCTATTTTCCCTTAAGATTTAAATTTTTTCCTCTTTATTTGTTCAGTTTTTATATGTCCATGGAATGGACACAACATTTATTAACTTTCAGTATATCCATATCCCCGATAGCTATAACGTTTACAAGAATTAAAACCACAATCACATGTTTATAAAATGTAATTCTTACTTTGACCTAGAGATAAGTGTATAAAGCTACCAAAGTAGAGATTAAATTTTATAAGTTTCTGATTATGGTTTTAATTCTTTTTGTAGCAGGATCCCTATTTCATTTCAATATTCATAATTGTTAGTACTCTTGTTTGTATATGTTTTATGTTATACCTGTAAAAAGTATATACTTTACCTTTAAAAACTGTCGCGTGTCTATCCATCGATATGTAGCAGCATCTGTTGTCTTGAATTGGGCTGAAAAGACATTTAAGTACGTGCATAGTATGTTTGCCATTTATAAAAGATCTGTATATATTTATTGGAATATCAAAAGCAAACACCTACAGACCAGTCAAGTAAGCTGGAGAAATCTTGTAGCGATAGTCCGAGCCGTCTAGTGGCTAGCCCCGCTGACACGATCAGGTAGGTAGGTAGATATTCGACTAAAAAGTTGCTATTTTAGAAAATTTTGAATTGTTATGATGGAAATTTTAGCGACCCTTTTAGCGTATTATTAGTATATGTCGCAACCAATACTTTGAATGGTCGGTTTTACGCTTAGGAATTCAGCAGGGACGTTTTTCGGTGCGTGAATTATTTGGAAACCTTGTCCATCCCTACTATTAAGTACTACCATACTTAATAATAATAATGCTCCTATGGCCTAAAAGCGAGCATGTTCGATGATGGGATTCGAACTCACGACCCGCAAATTGTGAGTTGAACAATCCATGTCAGGCTCAAGAGTATGGTGTACTTTATATTCGGATTGTGTTGTTGGGTTTTAAACTTCAAATGTTTTGGAACATAGCACAAGAAGTTGGTGGAATTTACAAAATTTGGGGATATAGAGCTGGTGAGGTCTAAATAAGAATGATTCTTACAAGAAGTTTCTGAATCATGTTTTAACCAACGGGTTTTCCTTAAAAGGAAGGTGTTAAACATAACTAATAGATATTCATTAAGAAACAAAATACTTTCGAAAGTAATTTAAGATTATGAACTTAGAATTTAAAAACAATAATCAGCACTACAATTTGCTGAAAGCCAAGTTAAACCAGCATTACTTTTGGAAGTACATAAGTAGTATTAAGTTCTTGATGGAAGGTAGTTAGTCAACAGCACCCACCGCCAACTCTTGTGCTACTCTTCTTTGAAATTATAAATGGTATTTGACCTTCACTTTTATAGCGCACACACGGCCCAAAATGCCGTGCAAGTCTTCTACGACAACAGGACACGAACCATGAACCCCCAGATTCACAATCTGGGTACGCTAACTACTAGGAAGTTATTGTAAATACATAAAAACTTATAATTATATTTAGGTTTCGTGTATGAGTCTTACTGATATTTTTGGAGCAAACGATTGATGTTTTATGTTTTGTAACTATAATTAGCTATTTATTTTCTCTTTATAGTCAGTTAAAGTTATGGTTAAAATAATTTTATATATTTTATTACTTTTATACTTGTAAAAGTGTATGCCTTATAGCTTAATGGACTCAGAACTAACTCAAATCTCCTAAGCTGACCTAACCCGTGGGTTATTACTAGTATTACAGACTAAAATATCGTTGACAGTGAGGGTATCCAACGAACGTTTTACTACATTCATGTGTATTGATTTTTTATGTAAAATAATTTAAGTCTGTTTGTTATACACGATTGACTTGATGAGCTGTATCAGTTACTTTGTAGTACTAATCTACAGAGATGGCTCACTTCTGATCAGAAGTTTTTAATATTAGTCAAACTATAGGTGATGACAAGTATTTTAATTGAATAAAAACAACTTTCCCAACCAAGGCTAAGTTTGTAATAGTTTTCACAGTATAAAACCTGTAAATCATGTGTAAATGTTACAATAAAGTTACTACTAGAATACAAACAACTTTCCCAACCAAGGCTAAGTTTGTATTAGTTTTCACGGTATAAAACCTATATATCAAGTGTAAATGTTACAATAAAGTTACTACTAGAATACAAACAACTTTCCCAACCAAGGCCTAGTTTTTAACAGTTTTCACGGTATAAAACCTGTATATCAAGTATAAATGTTACAATAAAGTTACTACTAGAATACAAACAACTTTCCCAACCAAGGCTAAGTTTGTAATAGTTTTCACGGTATTATAAAGTTACTATTAGAATACAAACAACTTTCCCAACCAAGGCCTAGTTTTTAACAGTTTTCACGGTATAAAACCTGTATATCAAGTGTAAATGTTACAATAAAGTTCTAACATCAAAAGTTCGAAAACCATAAATGCACTAAATAATCAAAAACTAAAACATGTCCGCTTTATATGGTCAACTAGGTCCCGCTATATGCTATCAAAAGATCCTTTACATTTACTTCACAAAAGTGACCAAATGTTCTTGTATAAGAGAATAATTGTTTTTTCTATTTAGTCCTTCCAACGTCCCAATTTTTGCACTGCTCCCAACCTACAGAGTAATCCACTGAAACTTACAAACACTATCAATTAGAGAAATGCCGAAAAGCAGTTTTATCGATTTTGCTTTATGATCTAATTCATGATCTAACTTAGTCTTTAATAGACTAATTTGGTTTAAGTGAACAAACAATGAGTAATCATCTTTTTTAAACTCTAATAAATAGATATAAAGTATTGGTTCATTGTTCGTTTAAACGAGAAAATTTATTTTCTCAGTCAATGTATTGACAACGGGGTAGACGTCACGTTGTCTCTAAAGTAGATAACTGAAATTAAAAGAAAGTAAGCATCCTTATTATAAAATTACGATTTTCTTTGTATACAACTCTATTGCATTCCTGACTAATGAGAAATGCGTTTTTCATAAAGAACTGATTTATTCTTCCTGTCTGTATTTAATGATTCGTTTACTAGTTAAAAAAAAAAAGAGATAAATAAGAATGAATGGGCTATGAAAAAAGAAGATATCACTTCTGTTTAGTTAACAATTAAAGTTTCTTGCAAAAACCGTTAATCATTCTATCGGCTTTGTTCTCTACATATACGTATCGAAACGTCATTGTTTTGAAAATAATTTTCTGTTGCTGTTTCGTTTTCGCCTTTTCGTGTTGTCATGTAACTTTACATTATCATATTTCATACCATTTCTAACCATAGAGATTCCTTGCCAATGCTAATCTTGTTAGAAGGTATAGTAACTCTGAACATTTGTCTTGAAACTGCAAACAAAAAAACAGGTTGTTGTTCTTGATTATTGAGATACATTTCTCATCAACATTTGTGTGTCCAGTTCATTAAATCAGAGTTATTACCTTCCACAACAATTAATCTGAGAAACTACTGACAGTAATCATACTTAAAATGTTTAATGACGACAGTTATTACTTATTGGTTTCCTAAGAAGCAGGAACGTTTACGTCTAAATTACGTTCAGAACTGAATAATCTTTCAATTTTAAAAAGTATACGCTGTGAATATATAGGGGAAACATAACAAGTATTTCAAGGTAAAAAATAATTCATCGACTTAACTTTGCAGTGAATCTTTACCTTGAACTTACTTTAAAAAGTAGATATACTGAAGTGAGTATTACAAACCTTCTTTTAAAATCTTCATGGTCTGACGTCACACTTAAATTTTCGCGTAAATCAGAAACCATATATGTTAGGTCGAGAAAGCTTTTGTTTGTTTGTAGTTATGCACAAAACTACGCAATGGACTATCTGTGATCTGCCCACCCCGGGTATCGAAACTCGGTTTCTAGCGGTATAAGTCCGAAGATATGCCGCTGAGCCACTGGGGGCAAGAAAGCTTTTAATATCACACACACACACACACACACAAAATATTAATGAACTATAAATATGTTACTATGATAGACAGGTAGAAAAGAAAACACAATGGGCGGTTTGATCCTAGAAGAGTGAATAAAGCTAGAGATGAGTGGTCACACATGTGTATAGGCAGCCAAACTGAGACATAAACGTGAAAAGCAGGAAATCTAGTAACAGCGATACCTGTATCTTAATTTGACTTTTATAAAGTAAGTACTATCTGGAGATTTTTTTAAGGTTCTTACCTAGGCTGGTTCGTTTACAGTTACGTGTTTTAAGACTATGGCATTAATTCATCAACCTACCTTCTGGTCTATATTGTACTACCATAGTGACGGACTGCCCAGCTCCTTTTAATTCTGCCGCTGCTTCTTCGTGCGTCGCGTGCCTCAAGTCCACCCCGTTTACCTTTCGTAGAGAAATAACACTCAACTGATTTTTACCTTTCTACAATAACTAGAAAATAAAGAAAAGCGAGTGGTTGAAAAGCTTATATTTCTGTCATATGGTTTGATTTCATATAATTCACGTTTATACCTTCTTAAAAACAGTTCATTACTTATTTCATCCGGATCCTACGCGTACCTACCTTTTTTTTTTTTTTACAAAACTTGTGCTGTATCACCTTATTTTACAAGAACTAAAAACACGTGTTTATTCCGTTTCTCCTTCGTCAACTACCCACACAACCTACCCCGTCATGGTGACGTGAATATAATCAGTCTTTCAATTTGAGGTTGTCGTTGTAGCAGTGTGATGAATAACTAACAACCATCTACTCATACGTACGCGGTACTAAAATCGCACATTTTGGTATGTATGGTGTAATACACTAGATCAACGAGTTTGAAACTGACTGAGCACGTGTTTTATAACAAACAGTGTGGGGGGGGGGAGAAGTGAACCCCCAGATATGGAACTTCAATAAAGATGTCGAGGAAGTTTAGAAAATGAGGGAGGCGAATATGCCATGAGAAAACAATAGCCAAAAAACAAGGGGACTTTGTGGATAACTTTTCAAATATTATTACGTTTTCGAGGAGAGTTGTTGTACACATTTTAAACACAGTAATATATCCATCATCTAATCCAGAATGGCTGTGACCACTAACAGTGGGCCTGTAACTTCAAGTAAATGTCCCTTTTTTTTTATTGACCATCGTACTATAATGTATGTAGCGTGTATGTGAGTATCTGTACATGTAACCAAAACTCCTGCGCCATCTATTGAATTGCACCACAAACGAAAATCCATAAAAAAATTCATATTTTGGGTATTCAAGATTCAGACATTTAGAAAAATATCTGTAGTATGTGCAACAACCATTTCTTTATAACAGAACCCAATTTTAAACAAAAGTACTCTCCTCACAACAAGAACACAACTTCCCCCAAGACTGTACGTGAGGATTTGATTATATCTTTATTGATGTAACTTGTAAACGTAGTACTGAGAAACTGGAGTTCTTAAAAAACTATTATTTTTTCAACAAACGGTACAATTTTTAACATATAAAAACATTAGTTTATATGAATAAAATTTATGAAAATTTTGAGCTCCGTACATTGAATCATTTTGATGCAATGAGTTGCGTTTGACTAAAGAGCACAATCCTAACACTTTTCCACTGCAGTACTTCCCAGAAAAAAAAAATCCTTTTTTAGAAAATGTTCAGTTTTTTAATGTGGTATGAATACTACGATTAGTAATTACCAGTAAAAATGGCCGCTTATAGGACGGCGTTTTTGCTAGCACTTATTAATGTTTGCTTAGAAACACTACTAAAAATATAAAATAATTTCACATTTTCTGTAGTCCCACACAGATTTTTTTTTTTCGTTTTGAAAAAAAGTACATTTTAACTTTTCACTGAATAACTACTACGAATAACTAATAGCGTTAAAAAAATTATTAAATACAAGACGTTACAATCATATCCCTACGGCGTCTTATGTCCCTGTACACTCTGAACCCTGCGAGGGCCCTAAATGGTTCGCCTAATTCTGGTGAAATGCCCTTAAAATAGACCCTAAATAAACATGAATAAAATAAAAAACGTTATGAAGGATGAAATATATCAAGTTTTCAACAAGTACAGTTACAAAATAGCTGATGGTTTCTAACTTATAATCATTTGACATTTAAACCTATATGCACTACTGAATCGCTCTTCGCCATCTTTTTTTATGTTTCAATAACGTCCCTTTTTTTCAAAACAGAAAAAACAAAAAACAAAGCGCCACTACCGTTTTTTTTTTCGAAAATTTGTAAAGTTGTATCAGTGATTTTTTTAAAAACGCTTCCCATTTACCACTACAGCAAAAATTATTATTTTATTAATTTCTCCAATAAATCTGAAAGACCTTCTCGGTGAATTAACGCTTCAAAAATAAAATACAGGAACATAGAGAGAATCTAAATCATTTTGTCTATACAAAACAAATTTTAAAAGCTAACGTTTATCACTCGTATAAAGCTTCTATATTTTCATGAATACGATGAAGTTACTTACCGAGAGTACTTGATCGCCCCGCTTGAGTTCACCACTAAGATCAGCAGCGCCTCCTGCTAGAATGAATGAAACGAAAATACCTTCGTCGTCTTCCCCGCCGACGATGTTAAACCCCAAGCCCGTCGTACCTTTGTTTAAAGTCACCTTACGTGGCTCTCTGAAATAGTGGCGCCATCTTTAGGTTAAAACACGATTGAAATATTCGAGCAAAAAAAACAAAACAGAAGTGGCTTTAATCGTAAGTCTATGAAACCAAAAATATCTTCAATACAAGGCTAATTACTTACAGAACAATACATTTAACTCCCCACCCGCCCACACATAGACGTTATGAAACCTTTGTTACTGATTTAAGAAATTGTCTTTTTAAATCAAATATAAAGACCATGCAGCAAAAATAAATTCTGTACCTGCAAACAAGATCTTTACAGTACCATTACACTTACAAAGATGCGGTTGATTCATTTACTCAAAGATAAGAAAATAAGCATCATTACTTACAAGAGAAAAACATTACTTGTAGTAGTTTTCCAACCGTTCTATTATACAAAACCGGTTTTCTAATTTTATATTCTTAGCGATAAAACAGCTTTAGAAATTTGTTTGTTTGTTTGCAGTTAAGCGCAAAGTTACACAATTGGGCTACCCGGTTTCCAGCGTTATATGTCCATAGACACGCCGCTGTGCTGGGCTCAACGATAAGTCTGAGGGCTTACAACGATTATAATCGAGTTTATATACCCGCGGTGGTCAGCACAGATAGCCTCTTGCGTAGATTTGCTATTTGACAACAAACAACCAAACTGTACAGTTTCATTGAACAATAATTTCCACCTCAGTGTACTTTCATGCTGGGGGGGGGGATGATACTAAACGTGCTCGAAAATCATTGAAAAACAACAACTTGATAATGAATATTTGTAGTAAATTATAGTTAATTAGGCTCAATGTGTGTAAAATATATAAGCACGAAATGTATGGAGAGCGTGTATTTTTAATAATTTCCACAGTGTTTTGAACCTGTTATATGGACAGTTGGACAGGTTGTGGGTGTTCATTAACACACACCCAGATTAGTTAGAAAATATCCGTAGGTAACACTTTCACTAACTAAACCTATTCACAAAGTGATAACGTCATTTGTAAATACCTTCTAGGGAAATTGTACAGTCTAAACTGACAAAGTAACCATTCTATTTGTTTTG